TTATGTTAAAAAGGAGTGGAGATAATGGACAGACCTCTGGGTCCTGATTTCAATGGGAATGCTTCCAGTTTTTCTCCATTTAGAATGATGTTGGCTGTGGGTTTGTTGTATATGGCTTTAGTTATGTTGAGGTATGTTCCCTACAGTCCAATTCCCTCTAAGACTTTGAACATAAATGCATGTTGAATTTTGTCAAAAAGCTTTCTCTGCTTCTATTGAGATGACCACATGGTTCTTGTCTTTGAGTCTATTTATAGGATTTATGACGTTTATTGACTTATGTGTATTGAACCATCCCTGCACCTCTGGAATAAAGCTGACTTGATCATGGTGGATGATCTTTTTGATGTGTGTCTGTATGAGGTTTGCAAGTATTTTGTTGAGAATTTTTGCATCTATGTTCATTAAGGATATGGGTCTATAGTTTTCTTTTTTGGTTGTATCTTTACCTGGCTTTGGTATTAGAGTGATGCTGGCTTCATAGAAGGAATTTGGAAGTTCTCTCTCCATTTCTATCTTTTTGAATAAATTAATATAGGATATAGGTCTTCTTTCAATGTCTGGTAGAATTCTGTTGTAAATCCATCTGGTCCTGGGCTTCTTTTAGTTGGGAGGAATTGCTGTTTCAATTTCCTTATGTGTGTGTGTTTGTTTAAGCTGTGGATCTCTTCTTGGTTTAGTTTTGGTAATTCCCATACTTTTAAATACCCATCCATTTCTTTTAGGTTTTCAAGTTTAGTAGCATATAGGTTTTTAAAGTATTCCCTTATAATGATCTGGACATTTTTGGTATCTGATGTGATGATTCCCCTTTCATCTCTGATTTTGTTAATTTGGAGGTGTTCTTTCCTTCTTTTGATCAACTGGGCTAAGTGTCTGTTGATCTTAATCTTTTCAAAAACCAGCTCTTGGATTCATTGATTCTTTGTATTGTTTTCTTTGTTTCTATTTCATTAATTTTTGCTCTGTTTTTGTTATTCTTCTTGTCTGCTGGGATTGGGTTTTATTTGTTGTTGCTTTTCAAGTGTCTTGAGTTGCAATGTTAAGTCATTTATTTGTGTTCTTTCTGATTTTTTAATGTAGGCACTTACAGCTATAAACTTTCTTCTAAGGACAGCTTTCAGTGTGTCTCAGAGGTTTTCTTGTGGTGTGTTGTCCTTTTCATTTCATTTATTCCTTTCTTAATTTCTCCTTTGACCTACTCATCATTCAGGAGTGTGTTGTTTAATCTCCATGTGTTCATGTTGTTACTAGGGTTTCTTCCAACTGATTTTAAGCTTTATTGTGTTGTAGTCTGATAGAATGCATGGCATTATTTCAATCTTTTTGTATTTGTTGAGGCTTGTTTTGTGCCCCAGTATGTGGTCAATTTTGGAGAAAGTTCCATGGAATGCTGAATAAAAAGTATATTCTTTGGTGCTTGGGTGGAATATTCGGTAGATGTCTGTTAGGTCCATTTGATATATAGTATTGTTTAATTCAGAGCTCTCTTTGTAAATTATCTGTCCTGTTCACCTATCTAATTATAACAATGAGGTATTGAAGTTGAAATTACTATTAATTATTATTGATTTGGAGGTAATCTATATCTTAAATTCCCATAGTATTGTTTTTAGGAATTTGGGTGCACCAGAGTTTGGTGCAGGTATGTTCATGATTGTAACATCTTCTTGGCTAATTGTTCCTTTGATCAGAATGAAGTGACCACCTTTATTGCTTCTGATTAGTTTTAGTCTGAAGTCTATTTTACAAGATGTTAGAATTGCAACTCCTGCTTTTTTCTTTGTACCATTCGCTTGGTATATTTTTTTCCATCCTTTCACATTAAGGTAGTGCCTGTCCTTGAAAGTGAGATGGGTTTCTTGCAGACAAGAAAAAGATGGGTTTTATTTCTTAATTCATTCAACTAATCTGTGCCTTTTGACTGGAGAGTTTAGTCCACTGATAATTAAAGTTATTAATGAAGGATGTGTATCGATTCCTGTCATTTTGATTTCTGTTCATGTTCTTGGAGTAACTGCATTTCCACAGTTATACCTTCATTAAGTTTCTTTCTGATATCCCTTGGGTATAGTCGTTCCTTTCTTCAGCGCTTGATATTACTTCAAGAACTCTCTCAAGGGCTGGTTTTGTGGATGTGAATTCTTTCAGCCTATTTATGTCATGGAAGATTTTTCTTTCCCCTTTGACTATAATAGACATTTTGGGTAGGTAAAGTAATCTGGGCTGGCATCTGTGGTCATTTAGAACTGGGAATACTTTGGTCCAGACTCTTCTGATTTTCATAGTTTGCACCAAAAAGTCAGCTGTAATTCTGATGGGTTTTCTTTTATAATTGGCTTGTTGTTTTTCTTTTGCAGCTTTCAGTATTCTCCCTTTGTTCTGTACACTTAGTGTTTTTACTATGATATGCTGAGGAAAGCTTCTTTTCTGGTCCTGTCTATTTGGTGTTCTATGTGCTTCTTGTATTTGTATGGGTATGTCTTTCTTTAATTTTGGGAAATATTCTTCCACGATTCTAGAAGATCTGGTCCATCCCATTATCTTGGGATTCTTCTCCTTCCTGTATGCCTATGATTAGTAAGTTTGGTCTTTTTATGGTGTCACACAATTCCTGCACATTCCATTCCTGTGATTTCTTAAATTTTTCATAATCTTTGCTTGAGTGATCTAGTTCTCCACTTTATCTTCCTCTTCCAGTCTTGATATTCTGTTTTCCATTTCATTCATCCTATTGGTGAGACTTTCTCCTGTCATTTCTAACTGGCTCACTGAGTGTTTCACTTCCTTATTCATTTCAGCCTAAGTATTCTTCAATATTTCTAACTCTTTTCTGAATTCATTCAGAAGTTTATCCCTGTCTTCTTTCATTGATAGTTCTTTGATTTCTTTGTTTGTGTGTTCTTTAAATTCACTTTATCATGTTTATAATTGTTCTTTTGAATGATTCCATGTCCTGTGTTATCTCTAGGGGGTTCTCATTGTACTCCTCTACAGGATTGTTGGTACCTGGTGGGGATATATTATTTGGGTTTTTCATGTTATTACTTTTTCACTGTGACTTTGCCATGTGAATTTCTTTTGTATTTTCTGATTCTTGTGTGAGACCCACGCCCTCCTTTGTCAAGTTTCGGTCTGCTTCCATGTAAACTTTCTGTGCCTTTGTGGCTTACTTGTTTTCTCTTTTGATTTTATATTGGAGGGGCCAGATGGCTTTCATCCTGTTGCTCAGGAGTTCCCACAGAGGCCCAAGTCAGATGAGGATCAGATGCTCTCAGGCTTTCTCCTAAGGTCTGGATCCCTCTAGTCAGCAGGCACAACACAATTTGGGAGGACTGCTAGGTAGAAGTAAGATTCAGGACTCTCAGTCAGTCAGGGAAGGAAACTGGTCTCAGAAATCCAACACAAGCAGGAAAGGAGGATGGTCTTAGGAATCCAGGTTGGGGATGAGACAGCCAGAGATGAAGGCCAGTCTCAGGTATGCAAAGGTGAGGTGAGAGAGAGAACAGGCTTTGAGGGCTCCAGGGTACCAGGCCAAAGTATTGGGTTGGTCTGAGTGCAAAGAATCAGGAAGCAGTGGGGAGTCTGGGCCAAGAGGGTAGTCCAGAGATCTGGGGTGCCAAGAGAAGAAATAGGCCAGTGCCCACACCAGGAGGACAGACAGGGTGGGGGAGCTGGGAGGATGAATAAGACTGTGGGAGTCAAGGCACAGTGGGCATGGTTGAACTTATCCAGGAAAGATGCTGGCCTCAGGAAGTTAGGGGCTGGGCTGGCCAGGGACAAGGACCTGTCTCAGGCATACAAAGGCGAGGCAGGGAGAGAGAACAGGCTTTGAGGGCTCCCGAGGGAAAGGTATTGGGTTGGTCTGGGTGCAAAGGATCAGGAAGCAGTGGGGAGTCTGGTCCAAGAAGGCAGTCCAGAGGACTGGGGTGCCAAGAGAAGAAATGGGCCAGTTCCCATGCCAGGAGGAGAGATGGGGTGGGGGAGCTGGGAGAGAGAGCAAGGTTGTGGGAGTCAAGGCACAGTAGGCATGGTCAGGCTCATGATATTTTAGAGCCAAACCAGATACATGCTTCTGTTGTCAGAATAATACTGCCCATTTTCTGTGTGCTTTAGAGTGCTGACCCTTGAGCTAATTTAGGCCTCAGGAGACCTTGTTTCTGCTGAAGGTAGATACCTGGCTCAGAGAGGGAGATAAAGAACTTTCCAGGGTGTTTAACACATCTCATAAGAGCCCTTCAAAGAAAGTAGTATCATCCCACTTCACAGATGGAAAAACTGAGATCTAGCAGGTCAAATGATTTTCCTAATATCAAAGCAATAATAAGATGATGGAAACACCTTTCTGAGTGAACTACTACTTCCCTTCCCCCCTGAATGGTGCTGTGTTCCCTGTCTGTAATTCCTGAGGTGTCAATCTGATAGCGCTTAGGATCACAACCGTCCTTCTGGATCATCCTTTCATAATGCTTTCCAAGAAATCCCACATGACTCAGAAAATCACTCCTCTCTGTGCCCCTGTTTCTTCATCTGTAAAACTAAAGGTGTCGGTCCCTACCTCACACAGGTGTCAGAGTCCTTGTTGATAGTATTAAGTGGGATCATGTATTGAGAGCACTTAGCCAAGAGTACATGTTAAGGTTTCAGTGTTTGCTCATTCTTCCTGTTTTTGAAAACTATAGTTTGTCCCCACTAATAGCACCAGGCAATTCCCTTTACCCCCAAACAAAATCAAATTAAAATCACAAAGAAATGATATATTTTTAAAGGTTTTATTATGAAAATGCATGAAATCACCTGCACGATCATATCTACAATAGCAGAGAAGCAGTGACAGTGGATCGTCCCCATGGGAGACAGGCATCCTTTGACCAAATATAAATAATAGAAATATACCAAATACAATAACAAAGTATATAATAAAGATTTAAGTTAAGGGAAGGGACAGAAATTCCTGAACAGAATTGTGAGTGTAGAGAACAGCGTCGTCTAGAGGGGAAGTGTCAGGGCTCAAGTGACCTTCCCTGAAGAGCTTGCTCCCCCTGAGCCTGGGGAAGTTCAGTTCAGCTCCAAGTCGCTCACATACTCTTTGACCCAGGACTCATTGGGGTCCGCACACACCTGTCTGCCTCTTTTGGTTTGGAATCTGTAGAACAAGGAGTGGACAGATTAGAATCCCATGGAACCTCTGAGGACATTTGCACTATCTCTCCCCTGTGGAATGCATCTCGTGCTGCTTGACCGAGGCTTGTGGTGGGCAGCTGTGGTGAATGGGATCCTTCCTGGATGATCTTGACATTAGATTCCCTGTAACTTCCACCCACTGCTGTGGTCCCAGTGGTTTCCCACATTAGGAAACAATGGTCTTGCAATCAATACGGACAAGTCTCCGCATTTTTTATTGCTCCAGCAATGACTTTTCAGTGTGTTTTTCTAGCATAGTTTGAGAAATCTGTCCATATGTCATGTATGTTTTGAACTATTTCTGTTTTCCTGGCCTCTGGGTATCTTCCTCCCCAGGAGTCCCCTTCTTTGATGACCACCCACTCACTATCAAGACTCAAACAGTGATGGTGTGATTTGTTTCTTCACTGTTAGAACTGAATTCCCTCTGTTTGACAACCCCTTCCTTCAAACTGACCCTTTTTGAATCTTGCCCTCACTCTCACCCTCCCTGGTTGATACTTACACCACAGCTGGCTGGGAGCAACGGCTGCTGGTCTCATAGTAATCAATCACAAAGTTTCTAGGAAGCGGCCTTGAGGTGTAGGAGAAGCAGCAGGAAGTGGGAGGGTCTGAGCCCACTGGAAGGAAAAGTGAGGTATGGTCAAAACTCTACCTGGCAGCTGTTCGTTATAGATCTTCATTGAACATCCCTATGGACTTCCAGAACCCAAATATGGTCCATTATATCCCCAGCTACCCACCCAGGGTTGGACTCTTACTCTAAAAAGAAAATATTCCAAGAAGACAAAAAAAAAGAATTCTAGAAAATTGGAATTGAATTGTCTCAGAATACATCACAGTTCCTTCATGTTGCAAGCTTAAACCGAGAGAGAGAGAGAGAGAGAGAGAGAGAGAGAGAGATCAATAGTCTGACTTCCATCCTATTCTTTTTCTCTATTGCTGCCAATTCTAAAGAAAATAGGAGCTTGAATATTATTAAATGTCTACTAGATTCAACATTTAACAACAAACTACTTGAGAATCTTTCCCCTGCTCAGGCCCCTGCTGGACTGGCCCCAACTAGAAAAGCGGACGCATCGGCTCTAGAGGTAGCAGCGGAAGAGTTGACTTACTTGGTGCTGAGAGCACTTGTGTGCAGAAGGTGGCTCCGAGCACGAGGAGGGAGAGGACAGTCACGTAGAGCTTCATGGTCTTGGTGGTGAGGTTTGTACAGAGCTGAGAGGGCAGACCTCAGAAGCGTCAGAACTGACTGTGTTTTGTGGTGATCTGACTTGGGATCCCTTCTTTATAGGGACTCTGAGGCCTTGGACAGAGATGGGGGCACAGGAAGACTTGTGGAATTTCCAGAGTGAAGATGATGTCATGGCACCAAGAAAGAAACTGAAGTTGGCTGAAAGTAGGAGTTCCTCCCAGCTTGTCTTCCCCCAGAACAATGTCATCACGGAAGAAAGAGGAGGGAGCCGAGGGGAGAAGTGGGCTGAGGACTAGAGGGAAGTGGTACACCAAAACTGGGCCGAGCCTGAGGGGAGAGTGAAAACTAGAGGAAGGATGCGACGTTCACACCTGCTAGCAGCGCATGTGGGTAGACACTCCCTGCCCTTGGGGGTGGGCACCCCAGAAACTGGAGGCTTCACATCAGTCTCTCCAGGCTGGCTGTAATCTCCAGAACAAGCCTAGGGTTTGACCACAGATAGAAGCCATTTGCCTCTCCAGATTCCTCCACACACAAAAAGCCATTCATTTGATCAGCATCATTCAAGGATTGGGTTAGCCTGTCTAAAACAAAGAAAGAGTGGAAAAGAAGTCAAGATTTCAGGATATTTTATTGGGCTGATAAGAGAACAAAAGAAAGAAATCAAGTTTGGAAGACCCAGACAAAGAATGTTCTAGTACAGCAATGAGTTTGTATTACAGAGTGTGTAATCACCCAAGAGTGTTTTCCAGTCAGTCTCCAGGGAACACCTCATGTTGTAGCTGCCAGGTGTCCAAGGTGCAGCCTACCAATGCCAGAGAAACAGTAAACTCAAAGTAGGGCAGATGAGGGAAATTTGACAGTGGAACCAAGGTCTCACTCACTTTTAGCTTAACCACTCTGACTCACTTGATTGCTCTGGACCTTGCATTGCAAGGACCCAACTTCCTGCTCATTTGCTGTTTTCCAGAACAGATACAGTTGAATAAAGCCTCATCCATTCCCTCAAAGAGATCTTAGTCTAGTTGAGATGACTAATGTTGATTGTCACGTTGACATAGCTGGGAAGAGGAAACCTCACCTGGAAAATTTCCTCTATCAGACTGGCCTGTGGGAATGCCTGTAGGGCATTTTTTGATTGTTAATTCAGGCAAGAGGGCCAAGCTACTGTGTGTGATACCATCCTTAACCAGGTGGGCCTGGACTATATAAGAAAGCTAGCTGAGGAACTGGAGAGATGGCTCAGCAGTTAAGAGCACTGGCTGCTCTTGCAGAGGACCCAGGTTAAGTTCCCAGCACCCACATGGTGGCTAACAACTGTCCTTGACTCCAGTTCCAGGGGATCCTATGCTCTCTTCTGACCTCTGTGGGCATTGCATGACATGGGTATACTTACATACATGCAGACAATACACTCATACACATAAAAATTTAAAAAATAACAATTTTTTTTAAAAAAGCTAGCTGAGTATGAACCTAGGAGCAAGCCAGTAAGCAGCATTGCTCCATAGCTCCTGTCCCGACTTCCCTTCATGGTAGACTGTGATCTGGAAGTATAAGCCAAATAATCCCTTCCTCCCCTTAAGCTGCTTTTGGTCATGGCATTTATCAAAGAAACAATAAGCAAACTAGAAAGTTAGTAATTGCACTGACAGTGATAAAACAACTATCCATGAAGTAAAATAAGGTGACACATCAGAAGTAAAAGTGATGTCAGGGAGTCTTAAGGATGAAGATCATCCCTTAGCTGGTGGGGAGTTTTGAGTAGTCTAAATCCACTATACTAAGGAGGAGCCTCTGCTGCATGAGCCAATGTGCTGATTCAAAGACGGAGGCTCGAGCTGGGGCACAGGAGGATGGGAGATATGATTGGGTGATTAGTCTATAAAGTGGAAGCTTTGCTGTGATAGAGCATCCTCAGAGAAGGCAAAGAATATTCTAGAAGATTAGAAACAGAGGGAATCTCAGAACATATCACATTGCCTCCATATCACAAATGGGGAAACTAGGGCACAGAGAGGACAGAGACTCTCCTAAACCAACAGTCCAAGGCAGAGCCCAGCAACAGTCTGACTTCAGATAGTTTCTTCTAGTGTTTTTTAATGTTTAGGGAATAAGAACTCAAATATTATGACTGTCTGCTAGGGTCCTGGAGGGTAGTAGACTCTCAGAAGAGATTACAGATACACCGAGGAAACAGATGTCGATGTGGACAGCCCAGCCTCTTCTTAGGACAGTGCTAAGGCTTAGGAGTGTTAGGAAGACCATTGGGTGTCAGGGCCAAGAGCAACAGTGTCTGGGATTTAGCATACCTGGAATTAGAGTGTTACTTGAGGGCAAATGCCAAGACTGGGGAGCCAAGATGACCTGGGGCACAGGACCAGTTTGCTAAGATGATAAACCAGGCTTGAGGTATTCCAGTGTGGTGTCTAAGTCACTTTGGGGAAATGGAAGCAGAAGTTAATTGTGGGTTGAAGAGTCAAGTAGCCAGTTACGGAGAATGAAGGGTTCAGAATGGCACCGGTCTGGTAAGAAACAGACTGAAGCAGCCCATGGATGCCTGCCACACTCTGGCCCCCAAGGCTTAGTCCCTGCCATAGCCGGCTCCTCAGCTGTCAAGGGTGGAGGCAGTGACTTCAGGGGATGTTAAATTCCTGAGAGAAGCGCTCAGTTTCACCAGTATTTGGTGGATTCAAGGAAACTGTCAGAGTTTCTTATGAAGTCTCTCCCTTCAATGAAAGCTTTTTGTACTTATCTCTCCTCTCTTCCCATGCAACTAAGAGAAGAAAATAATACTGTAAGCTTTATTGAGCACCTATGAGGACAGACACTTGTCAGCATTGGAAGGTCTTGCTTTAAAATGGTGGGTGTGAAATGTGAAAAGAGGCTTCAAAAAATTTAAGGACTGGGAAGCGGAAGAGGAAAGAATGTAAGAGCAGAGCGGGAGGACGGCTGTGAAGTGCGTGCGTGACGGTTGCACTCAAGAACCCACTGCCGATATGGGGATCTGCACAAGATCAAGTCAGCAAGATCCATCAGCATTCCAGCAGGCAGCACTAATGGACTCAGTGGGTTACAGGGAGGGAGGGAAGGAGGGAGGGAGGGAGGGAGAGAGAGAGAGGACATGAAGAGGGAAGGGGGGATGTATTGGAGGGTTCCCAGGAGGAGTGGGAGAGAAAGTGGCTGTGATCAATTATACATGTATGAAATTGTCAAAAAATAAAGGGCAAAAATGTGAAATCTGAACTTTTTAAAGAAAATGAGATTTTTCT